TTGCATAAAGCCTAAAAGCAGCTTTTTCTTGCTGTCTTGCTTCTTTATGCCTGCATAATAAACAAAATGTATTTTTTTTGTTATTGGCATCATCTGTAGCTGGCTTATAAATAGCTGAAATATAACTTCAAACTTGCCCAGCTGCCTAGTCCTATTATGCTTTGGGTTCATGCTTAAATGCATTGGGAGTGTTAATTCAGTGCAGCTAGTGGTTCCAGAAAGTGTGAAACATGTATTTAAGTAGAATGGTAGCATGTTTTAAGAACAATATTTAAAGATACATTCAAAAGGTGTACATTATATATTTTTTAGCATTGAAAGAAAAATAAAACTGAAAAAGAAGACTGAGAAATATAGGTATTAACTAGACTGTGCCACCTAAAGCTAAATTGCATTCTGCATATCCTTGTCAGGCACGCATTTTGACCTCAGAGAGATGTTGCAGGCCTCTGTGCAGTCCTTAGAGGAAAAAAAAACTGTCTGCAGAGCTGATAATTTGTGACTTTAACTGAACAGTTAAGGATTTAATCTTCTTGGACAATAGTTTGCCATTTTTCCTCAAGAAGTAAGCTTTCCCTAGCAACGAGTTAGCTTTCATTTTTCAGACATGAAGGCATGTTTGGGAGAGCATTGTGGGAAATACAGAGCACTAGAAACTCTTAATGATCCTGGAACCAAATAATCAAAAATAAACTCAGATGTTTTTTTTATTTTTAGTACAAAACACAAACACCAGAAGATGTTGCAAGATCAAGAGAAGAACTTAATTTTTAGTGTTCCAAATAATTCTGAAATTATTTGTCTGTGTATGAAATACGTCAACAGCACCACAGCTGCCCTTCCTGAAGGTGACAGGAAAGAAAAATGTGATAAAGGTCAGACTGTCAGGCAGCCTATTATGAGCAAAACACTTTCCTAGGATAGAGCTTCGCCAAGAGTGGGCTGGTGCCACCTTGACATTACAGCGTCTGTCAAAAGGAAAAACAACTCATGACTCCAGGTAATAACTGAAGGTAGTAAAAACAACTCATTTGCCCTATTTCTTCCATCTCTAGGGGGAAAAATACATCAAGCCACCATGTAGCAATCATATTAAAAAGTTCTGCACAGTTGCCTCAAGCAGTTGGTTGAGGTCTGTTACTTTACTATGAAATACACAAAAGTAAAAGCTTATCTCCAAGTTTGTGGAAGGAGCCCATGGTAAATATATTTGAATTGAATTTATTTGGTTTTATTCAGTGTTGAATGTAGTCATATTTTGATAAAGAGCAATAAAAATGGAACAGTCAAGATTCCATGTGTACTTTTAAAATTTTCTTTTAAAATAAGATGTTTATCTTTCTCTAATTGCAAAGACAACAGACTGAATGTAAGAGTTTCAGCTTATGTTATTGTATTTCTAACATGATTACCAGAAATGCCAACCTACTTAGAGCAGAGTGCAAATAAGGTAATTAAGTGTACTAAAAGTGCATTTGAGATGCCATGGTATTACTGAAGAAAGAGAAGGAAAGAGAAGGAAAGAGGACAGCATGACTTTCTAACCAACTGAATTTTCAAACCTGATAAAAAACCTCATGAGGTGAGCAAGGTTAAAGCTACATGAAAGATTAGCACTGGTTGCAGAAAGTTTTGTTAATATCATTTTGATAAAAAGCATTTTCCTTGAACATCTAGCTTTGAAAAGAAATATTTTTGACATGACATTGATCAATGATTTTGGTGAAGCTTTTATCTGAAATATACCTAGATTTTTGAATTTTAACCTATGAATCAAAAGCTGTTAAGAAAACCTGCACAGCAAACTTTATCTCTAAAAACTGAGAAATGGCCTTCAAAGAACAGTATTCAACCCCATCTCACATACCCATTTTCCTCTGATACCCCATGTGCCACAGACTTACAGGAAACAGAGGGAAACTTAACCCGTCAGATAACTTGTTCTTTAAAGCTGGAAGCGTCCAACTGCCACAAGTCTCGGGTGTCCATCCTGATTCCAAGAAGGATACACTTTCTTAGCTACAGTGCTGCAAAATGTCTTCTATTTATTTTTTCATGCTGCAATATTATTTTCGTCCTTAGGTGACAATTCTTTTCGGCCCATGCAACTTCTGAGGAGGTTTGTAGCAGCTGGTACATGACAGCGTTTAGCAGAAAATACCCATGCTTTTATTGGAGTGTGGAGATGCTTGTTATCAAGGGAAGGTTGGTTTGATGTTTTCTTCTGCGGTTCTTGTCCCACATAAAAAAAGACCTAAAAGTCTAAGGAAAGGCTGACATGGTGATCCTATTTAGAGCATTGAATGTGCTGATCACTTAAGACTTTGACTGCATTGTTTTTTTACTGGCTAAGGTTGTGACGATAATCCCATTGGCAGGAGAGACTGAAAGTGTCTGTCACTGCTAGTTGCGGATGTTTAGAAAGCTTACTGCTAATAGTAAAAAATATCAGAAAATCCTGACTTTTGTTTTCACAGCATTAGTTTTCACATTATGGTCTCAAGAGTACTGTAAGGTGCAGGTGTCTTTGTAAAAAGATAGTACCACTTTACTCCTAAGAGAAATTAGTCATAGAAGAAAATCTTAGCTGAGGAAGTAGTACATCCATCCACAAACCCCAGAGAGGTGTTTTGAGTTAGAAAGTGCCTTAAGGCACTGAGCTTCAAATGCTTGGGTAAAACATCATACACACTTCTTGGATGTTAGTCTGAGACCTTGTCAGTTCTTTTAGACGATACAACACTTGTGTTATGTCAAAAAGATACTGAACTATCTGATAAAATTATATCTGGCATTACTCTTAAACTCCAAGGACCACAAAAAGCTTTACCAACTGGATGCAAACTGTGGTTCTAATGCTAAATAAGACAGCCCCCAGGACAGACATACTAAGGAAGTGAAAAGTCCTTGTTGTCTCTTTGGAAGTGCCAGTTGTGAAACCTGAGATCAGTTGCATTATCCTGTGGATAGACAAAAAACCCTCGCCTATTCATGCACAATCTTGTATAGCCTCTGTTGTTCAAGTCTCGCAAAAATTTTAGTAATCTTGAACAGCTGTCTTCTGCTTGTGTACAGGTTAAGCTGAGTTTCATTAACCTGAAAAAAAATTTAATTAAATAATTTCCAAAAATACTCGCCCTCTGTGCAGTAGAAATGTGTTTGCTGAAACAGGTGATGGAAAGTAGAAAACACTCCAGTTTTGTAATTAAATGTGGCAAATACTAGGATACCTTTGGCCAGAGTCAGCTGTTGTGTTAAATAAACTTGCAATTGAAAGTAGTGAGACACAGTAGGAGTCATGCCTCTGTGAGGTTAGATGGCTAAATTATTGAAAAACAAGTGGAAACAAAGATAATTAACTTAGAGAATGTATAGAGGTTTATACCAAAAATACTAAGACTGGTGTGACTAAAGTGTTAACAGAAGAATGTGTGAAAACCTTAGAAACAGCCAAGCAAGGGTATGGTATGTGTTAATTGCTTCAGAACTGGTGTATACAGTTTTTCATTCATATTCCTTGATAGTGTCATGTGTTGATGCTGGCTGGATGCCAGGCAGCCACAAAAGCTCCTCACTTACTCCCCTGTGCAGCTGGACAGGGGAAAGGAATGTAACAAAGGGTTCATGGATTGAGATAAGGACCAGGAGAAATCACTTATCAAATACCATCAGGGCAAAACAGGTTCAACTTAGAGATAAAAAGTGAATTTATTGCTAAAACAATCATAATAATTATGATAATGAGAAATTAAAAAAGCCCTTGAAAACACCTTTCCCCCACTGTTTCCTTCCTTCCTTCCTTCCCAAGCTCTACCTCCTGTCCCAGTGGTGCAGATTGACAGGGAATGGGGATTATGGTCAATTCCTCAGCCTTGGTTTATCCAAGGCTGGGAGAGGAGTCATTCCCCAGCTGCACTGTGGGGTCTCTCCCCTGGCAGACAGCTCTCCATGAACTTCTCTGATGTCAGTCCCTCTCAGGAGCACCAGCTCCGTGTGACCTGCTGCACTGTGAGTCCATCCCACGGGCAGCAGTCCTCCCAAAGCTGCTGCAGCCTGGGTCACTCTTCCATGGGGTGCAGTCCTTCAAGGAGAGATGGCTCCAGCATGGGAGCAGAGCTGCTCTCTCCACAGTTCTCTCACAGGGTCACAGCTTCCTACAGCATCCACCTGCTGGCACGGGGCTCCTCCACATGCTGCAGGTGGATCTCTGCATCCCCACGAACCTCCACGGGCTGCAGGGGCACGGCTGCCTCGCTACGACCTGCACCAGGGGCTGCAGGGGAGTCTCAGCTCTGGTGCCTGGAGCACCTCCTGCCTCTCCTTCTGCACTGACCTCTGTCTGCAGGGCTGTTCTCACCCTGCTCTTTCTGCTCACAGCTAAAACTGTGGCACCACCTGTGGTTTGATTTCTTCCTAAATTCATTATCACAGAGGCTTTAGCACCATTTGTAATCGGGCCAGCCTTGGCCAACAGCACATTTGTCTTTGGAGCCACAGGGAACTGGCTCTGCTGGACATTCCTGCAGCTTCTCAAAGATGCCACTTCTGTGGCCCCTGCTCTCCCAAAAGCCAGGCTGTACAGACCCAACACAGATGGCAAGAAGGAAAAACTTGCAATAAACTTTGCTGTCAAATTGAGAGACCTGGAGCCATAAAATATTCATAGAGGAAATGAAAAGAACCACAAGTCTTGGGAATTTTGCTCCAGCACTGTCCAAATTAAAGGATTATGCTCAGCACATGACACAGTGTGCAGTAGTCAATCAAAAAAAATGAAGATGTTTGAGAGTTGCATAGACAGCAGTGTTTGTCCTTCATGGTAAGCCCAAGTGATTCTGGCCAGACTGCTTAGATGTCATAGAACTCTGGAATCATGGAATGACTTGAGTGGGACATTAAAGATCATCAAATTCCAACTTGCTTACCATGGGCAGGGACACTTGTACTGGGCCAGGCTGCTCAGAGCTTCATCCAACCTTGCCTTGAGCACTTCCAAGGATGGGGCATCCACATCTTCTGTGGACAACCTGTTCCAGTGCTTACCATTCCCCTGGAATTTCTTCCTAGTGTCTAATCAAAACCTGCAGTCTTTCAGTTTGAAGGCATTCCCCCTTGTCCTGTCACTGCATGCCCTTGCAAATAGTCACTTTCCATCTTCCTTGTAAAGCTTCCTTTAGGTACTGAAAGGCTATGACTGAGTACCTTGAAGTCTTCTCCTCTTCATGTTGAACAATCCAAATTTTCTTGGCCTTTCCTCATAGGAGAGGTGCTCCATCCCTCTGATCAACTTGATGGCCTCCTCTGCCTTACTCTAAGGTAGGTCAATGTCCTTCCTGTGAGAGCTGTCCTGTCCTGTTGGAGGCCCCAGAGCTGGATGCAGGGTTCCAGGTGGGTTCTCACCAGAGCAGAGCAGAGGGACAGAATCCCCTCTCTCCCCTGCTGCCCACACTGCTTTGGATGCAGCCCAGGACACGTTTGGCTCTCTGGGCTGGGAGTGCCCATGGCTGGGTCATGTCCAGCCTCTCACCCACCAGCACCCCCAGGGCCTTCTCACAGGGCTGCTCTCCATCTGCTCATCCCCAACCTGTAAAAGAAAAAGAGAAATCATACCTTGGTACTTCACAGAATGCAACTGCATGCACAGTGTATTTGAGATAATTTTGTTTAATGAAATCACTTCCCTATTCCATAACATCTGGCATTAAATTTTGCTACATCAACTTCTCAGAAATATAGGAGTGAGTCAAAAGCCTTGCCATGACTGATGGCATTTTAGTAGAGTGGGTAGCAACTGGAGAGCACTTTTCTTTGTGTTGACAAAGGCAAGTGGTGCTACCAAGAAGCAAGTCTATCAGAGGATCATTTCTTGCATTGGTGGCAATGCTACAAAGTTTGGTTTTAGTGTCTTTCCTTTATCTTGGTCAGATGATCTAGCTGTGCAATTGCATTACAGAAAATTTAGAAATGCTGCTTTCTGCACAAAAGTGAAGCATACATCAAGAGAAATTCTAAGTATTAAAAAAAAAATAAAGCATATATATGTGTATTGAAGGTAGTAATTGCTGGAAGGAGGATAATAAATGCCTGATCAGGTAGTGGTTTATGTGGGACAGAGAGGGAAAAGTGGAAGCAGAGATAAATGAGGCTTTGGCTGGTCAAAGTTTTTGTACTGTAGAGAGCTGAAGCTTGTGGAGGGGGTTATATAAAACATTGTAAAAATTGCCCAGTGGTGGCACAGCATAGAATGATCCAAGAGGTGACAAATGTACTTTTGCAGTCATGGGCAGCATTGGAACTGTAAGACTGTCAGCCTTAGAGTGCTCCTACACAAGCTGCTTAGAAACTATCAAGTTAGCTGAAAAAGTGCTGCCAATACCTTTTTGGCAAGAAAGCAAAACCATAAACTTCCTCTCACTGGAAATGGGGGAAAAAACAGTGACGTGTAGAACTGGATCATAGCACTACCAAGGCTGCCAGCTGTGACTCAGGGGAAGCTGGAGCTGCAGAACATCCTTTGGCTGGAGGAGGATATGTGCCAGTCACTGATAGAAGAGCCTGAATATGTAGTGTGAAAACATGCATTTCCCAGCAGGTGGGGACCTTTGGAAGTATTGAAGGAGAATCTGAGAACTTCAACAGGATGAGCTCTGCAGTGCATTATGTTGGCTAGGAAAATCTAAGTACACTGGACACTTGTTGGGATGACTACAGCCCATCTAGAGTTATTAACTTCAGTGCCTGACAGGAAGTTTGCTTGTGCCATCAGAAACCTGGGATGCAGAGTAACTGGCACTCCCAAAGCTGATTAAATAATTTGTTAACAAATTATGCCTGTGTCTTTGAAGACCTGTGTTCTGTTAATTGTGACTTACAATGTAAAAAGAGCTTTGTTTACTCAGTACCTATTTTTATATCTTCATTATATGGTACATCAGAAATGGATTGGCATTTGGGAGCTGGTTCTGGACTTCAGGCTTTTTATACATTTGTTGTTCAGGGGATTTGCTCTGAGTTTCATCTAGCTTGATCCCCTATGCCAAAAGTCTCCACCACACAGGTAGACTGCAGATATCTAAAGATGAAATGTTTAAAGGCTGACTGGACTTTGTTGTGAAACAGAGTCTAATTGCAATGCCCAAGGCACTTGTCCAGTGTACAGGAAAACCATCCTGTGAAAGCAAACTGTTCAGTAGGGTCAGTTAATGGAAGGGCTTCAAAACTGCTCTGAAGTAGCTGGTGTGGATTTGGTCTAAAGGGAACAAATTTCCTTTTGCCTTTTTAAACCCCTCTTTCAGATTAAAAGGTGAAATCTGCCTTCTCTCCCCTTTCTAAAGAAATCTTCTAAATTAGGTCTTCCACTGTAAGTAGTGGATAATTTTAAAGGATTCTGAGTAAGACCTCCTTGGTAGGTCTCTGCCTTTGCTGCCAGATCTTTTCCTCTAGGGACAGTCCTCACATGAATTTTAATGGCAGCACAATTTTCCAGTCAACTGTAGACTTGGCCCTCAGACTCAGTATCTCAGGTCACACCTTGGAATTATCCCCACTCTCAGAGTCATTTACAAAGCTGCCTGCTATGCTTGTACCTATCCATGACTAGTCCTGCTGAAGTCAGAATAAAATTAAATGGGCATGTAAATCTTTGCAGAATGGTGTCGTGAGGCTGGAAGGACCTTAAACAGATTGATTTTAGGATATATTTGCCCAGTCCTTTACAGGCAAAACTAGATTGGTCCTGCTGGTGCACACTGCCAGCATGAGCATGGTGCACTCTCATTCTGAACTGAGTGGGCTCCCTAACCACAGCCAGCTCAGAAATGAAATCCACACAACAGATCTGTCTGCAGGGCAGGATGAATTAACACAGATTTGTTGCAAGGGGATGATTGCTCCCAATTCGGATCCAAGTGTGAAAAGTGCAGTTTTAAAACTGGCTGCAAATGATGACAAACATTTAACATATTAAGGCCAACAATGACTTAATATGAACTCTTCGGTGATAGCTGTTTACATCATCATCATCTGCTTGCTTTTAATTTCTTTTATGATTCCTTAAATTTTCCATTTTTTCTTATGTTAGCCTGAAGGAAATGTTGGCTTCCCGAATGTATATTCTGCTCTATGACCTTTACATACTGACACACAAATGCCAACTGACTTAATTTTTGTAGTGTAGCTAGTGAAGCTATCTATAGAAACATTTAAGTGTATATGTTTGTGCAGGACATGACATTTATGTTAGGATCCATTCTTTCTCTCCTCCTTTTCTCTCTTATACTGTGTATTATGCATTACTTGGTGTTCATGCCCCTTTATATGTTCATCAAACAACTTGTTTGAATCCAGACCATAGACTCAGAGAGAATTCAGAAAGATGCATCATTAATACTGTAAGTGCAATTATTATAAATGCATGTGTTATTATAAATGCAGGTTCTGGAATTTTCTTAGTCTCTTTTGTATCCATTACATGTTTGTTTTGCTGATGTCTGTGCCTTTGTGAAAGCTCACTTCTAATGAATAAACAGTCTATAGCAGCAACAATTGTAAAAAAACCCCAGCATATTATTATCTAGGTGTTAGAAGATACAGCTTAGAGATTACATAGTAAAGTTAAACAACCTTAATGAAGATATGTTACCTGCACCATTGGAATCAGTGCTGGTATGAACTTAAAAATTTCATGTACTTTTCAAGTGGAAAACGAAACATAAATGAAGGAATAGCATATTCATGAGCTAAATGTTACCTTCATGCAGAATTTTATGTTCTGATGGCTAAGGTATTGAAATATGTTTGCAATTTATTTGTCATCTTCTTAAGCTACAACTATAAAAGGTTTTATTACATTTCAAAAATATTTAAACTGTGCTAGAATTGAGTTATTGTGCTCTGAAGTCAAGTGACCACTAGCTGGCAATGTTATACAGCTCTTCCTGTTACAGATTCATTGCATAATACATCATGGTTTGACTCAAGACCTTTAATTTTAAAAATAGAAAAAGAAATTGGATTTCAGTGGGGCTGGGTACTTCTGAATATTTCTCCTCTCAGGCTCCAGTGCAGATTAGCAAGAAAATAGGAAGGGCAGTGGACAGAAATAGTTTCTAAAGTAATAACCTTTGCTCATAGGATTTCTTTTGTTTCTCCGAATCAGTGTTTTTAGTTTTAATTTTGATTTTAAATGTCTTTCACTTACCTCAGATGATGAGAGATGTTAAAAATGAAGCTTATATAATGATCTGCAAATAGCCTGGACAGTGTTGTCACCTCTTTGAAACTTCAGTGTAGATGTCCTTCATTGCACTTATTTCAAGTGCCTTTTCTTCATATTCAGATGTCTTAAAATTGTATTATTTCCTGCCTATCCACTATCCTTTGTTTTCTAAAGCATAACTTCACGTCTCCTTCAGCTATTAATCAAGGGAGACAAACAATTAAAACTGCTCAAAAATTTAGGGTGTTGAGGATGGCTACGAATGGCAGAACAAGCCGACCACATTTCTCTGCTCATGCACCAGATACACCCACTGCCATTATTCACTGCACTCTTTCAGTGCTGCTAGATACCTTACTTGCAAGTAGATGGAGTCTCACACATGTATGAAGCTCAGTGGTCAGAATCTATTATTTTGTAATATGAAAAAAATGTAAGTGAATGAAGCACTTCAAATGAATTCACAAATGAATTAAAAAAAAATCCAGAAACCACTCTCAGTGTTTTGCACTGTAAAGTCATATATTTTATCCTGGAAAAGGCCAGACTGGGGAATAAAAAGGCAAAAGAAACCCCTGCTTTCAATTCTGAGAGGACTGTGGAAAAGAAATAATGCTAGTGACAGAAATTATTTTGTGTACATTTATTGCATGAAGAGTTTTGAGATTGTTATGTCTGTAAGACTTTTGGAAACATGTTGTTTGCCATTTGTTCAGTATGCAAATAGTCCTGTGTACATTCAGGCCTTGTGTTCTCTTTTCTTACTTTAGTCAATGCTGCCATCTGGTAACTTCAGAAATAAGTAAAGAACAAGGCCTTGGCGAAGACGAAACTGTTAAGAGGAAAAGAAAGAATCATTTAAACAGAGGCCTTTAGAAAGCAGAGGTTCAGAAGGAGAATGTCTTGAGGTCAGCTTCAGCATGGAATAAGTTCAGCATAGAGAGCAAATCATTCCACAGAGTGCAATTCTCTGCTGGCCCAAAGTGGTGGCCCAGCACCCCCTGAGTACAGGGGGAAATCTGGGGCACAGTGACTGGAGTCAGCTACTAAAGGACTCTTCTACACATGAATATTCCCCTGCTTTGAGAAAATTGCTACCTTTAAAGGGAATAGATACGTGAAAAGCACAACTGTACATTAGACATAGCAAGCTTTTTTCTGAAAATAAAAGGTGGCTTGCAGCCAGTAATTTGTCTAGTGGAGTTTGGCTACAATTGGGATGCTAGCAAGAAGGCTGAGGTTTTGGTTTTTAATTACTTCTATATTTCTTAGGTTTTCATGCTATTGATGCCTGCCAACCAATCTTTAATATGAAAACTCTTTCGATTATGGGCTCTCTCTGTCCTTTTATCTGAAACATGCCTTCTCTCTTAGGAGAAACTGTTCCTTTTAAAAGGTTAATGAAACGTTTTCTTCAGGAAACTGTTAAGTGAGTAGATGTCTTTCTGTGCTGGATAAATTTTTGGGTAATGCTCACTGAGAAACAAAGGGAGCAAGCTGGAGCTCAAATTGTGAAAAGTATGCTTTTCTTCCTGCATAAGCATTAAGGAGGGAAGATTTTTACTGCAGTGATAGAAAAGCTTTCTTACTAAAATAATATAACTCCATTTTCTAATATTAAAAATTGGCTTAATTTATAATAATTACAAAGATTTTTCTGACACCGGGATACCTGAGGTAAAAATTTTCTTTATTTTCAGATGCTGGGATTTGTTTTTATTTTTTTTTCTGAGTATGTCTAAAAAATCTATGCTAATGATCTCAGACTGTAGCAGCACTTAAAACTGAGACACACTCCAGGTTTTTTGAAGTTAAAACTGTCTGATCTCATGGAACAGACCACAAAAGAGATCAAGCTTAAACAATGTGTTGCTAAATTACACTCTTAAAGTGGTGCGCTGGGCAAAATTTGCTATTACAGGCTAGAGGAGTTTTATATCATCAGAAAATAGCAAATCTAGTCACCCTTTGATACCCAATACCTTGTAATTTACTTCTCTCCAGATCATTGCAGCTGCAAAAAAGATTACTAATGCTAAATTAGTATGTTGAATTTCTATTTTTTCTCCTCTGCCAGGTCCCTAAGGCAGCACCTTCTCTGAAATGGTGACATGGGAGCTAATTGGGGAGGTCATGAAAAGATTTTGTTTTGAGAGTTGCTGAAAGAATGAGGAGTTTGCTGGAAGTATCTTAGCAAAAATGACATGCTCAATTTTGGCAAAGAGCTGGGCCAACAGGAACAACAGAATATGTGGAATTATGGTAACTAAATGTTGAATGCTGCTAATTTATTAATGACAAATGTCTATTACTGTTTTGACCCCAACTGTAGTTCTCTACTATTATGTGGATGTTCATCCGGGCTTCTTAAAAAAAAAAAAGGAATGGCAGTGTGGCAATAAGATATCTTCTAATTAATAAATTATCAAAATTGCCTAGAGAGTGTGTCCTCTATAGATGCTGTTCTCAGGGAAGTCCACATTATAGTATAGTTCTATTTCTATAATATTTCTGGATTTTTTCAGGGTTTTTTTAACTGTAATGATGATGATGATGATTATTAATGATGTCGTTTATCGTAGACATTGTCTTGGAAAGGCTAGCAAATGGAATAAAAACAAGAAATCCTGGTAATTTCTGAACCTCTAACACTTTTTGTCTTGTTTACTGCAACAAAAATTTAGACAGATGCGAAAATGATGTTGAATGATAGCTATCTGGATTTTGTTGTGCAGCTACTTAAGTTGATGGAAGACTCTTTTCTAACAGGAACCATGCCATTTGCACATTTGCTTTATTGAAATACAGACCTCAACAGTAGGCATTAGTTATATAAGCAAACTGGATCCAGTGTTCAAAATTATGTTAGTGGCTGTCAATTCTGTGAAATATAATTGGTTCAGATGGTCTTATCATTTCACACTCACTTGACTGCACCCGATCAGTTTCTGAGTAGATTTTAGTAATATAAAATCTTACTTAAAAGGTTTCCTTTGCCTCCCTTCTGCAGATAAACTGTTTGCTGTACCTGGTAAAGAAATAATATTTTTCTTCTTGTTCTTCTGTTTTTCTACATGAAAATATGAGACTTAGAAAATTTAATTTTCTTGGCTTGAGGCAGAAAACTTACCAGCTAATAAATTATTGGAAATTTTTTTGGATGTCTTCAGATATGACTAACCATTTTCCATTTTATTTATTTACAATCTCTTCAAAATCTCAGATTGTTTAATACTTCCTCTGTGCTTTTGCATTTCTAAGGATTGTTTTATTTCTCACTTGCAGCTGAGCACACATGCATGCAATACAGCAGGTTTTTCTTCATTACTATTACAGTGCACCAGACTATCTTATAAAGGTTGTGAGTGATATGTTAATAATAGAGATCTTTTGAGAATAGCTGCATTCTTTTCTTAGTAAGAGTAATTCCACAAAACTGCAAAAAACTTCAGACCCCCATTCCCCCTCAAAAAACCGAAACCAAATCCAAAACCAAACCAGACACTAGGAGTTCAAAGTACTGGGATTAAGTTTTTTTTCTTGGCCCATTATCTTTTCACTGTAATCTGTGATACTTGAAAATGAACAAGTTATTGGCTAGGGTGTAAACCATAATTTTAAAACTGCCCACGAAGAACACTTCATTTGGATTCTGCATCATATTATTACTAACAACTTTGATTGCATTTCCCTAATTATTTGAACTAAACTGCAGAGTGTATCAGAGATATATGAAAAGAAAACCAGAAGATAGGCTACTTTTGTATTTAGCTCTAGAGCTACTTTTTTCAGAATGTTGGATCATTTTTGAATGTGCAAAATTCAAAACAGAGGTTGCCAAGTCTGAGAAAATTCAGTGAAGAGTCAAGAAAGGAAAAAGTTTGCTGTAAATTGAGAGACTGCAGGAAATATTTGGCTGGCAAAAGAGTGAGAGAATTAATTGTGATTTGCAGGTATCTGAGAAAGGACAGATATCTTCTAAGAAATATGTGAGAACATAAAGGAAACCCCAAGTTTTGGGATTTGAAATTAGATGTATTCAGATTTAAAATTAAAACTGTCACCAATAGCAATGAAGTAAGGGAACAACGCAGTAGCCAGTAGAGGGTACTTTCTGTCCAATTTGTTTGAGATTTAGGGGTTTTTTTATGTTCTTTAATTAAAGCGAGTCCTTAGGTTCATGGCCTCTGCCATGGCATAGAACATAGGATCATAGCAGTAACTTTCAGTAGTTCCTTCTGCCCTCCTGCTCCAATATTTCATTAATAAAACCACTATTCTGCTTTTCTGAGATAAGATTTAATATGCCATTATCTTCTGATTTTTTTTTTTCACTATAATACTCCCTATTAGAGCTAAATTCTAAAGGACTGGTATTGATTGCACTCTCAAAAATACATTTCCACATAGTGTAAATACAGGATAAAGAAGAGAGCCTATCATCTGGGCTGTGTGTGGACAGGATGTATTTTACTGAGCTGTGCAATCTTTTTAAGCACAGCTTAATTAAAAAGTCTGTGTCAGCAGGTTGAGAGTGTGGAGTGCACGCCTCACGAGCCCAGGTGAACCTGTTTCATTATTAAAGGTAAGGGATGGGGTCTTCAGCACCTTTGCTGTGGTCATGTCAGAGTTCTGATGAAGAAATGAGCAGTGTGCAGGAACAGCTTCTCTTGAAGTTGTGTCCACCTAGTGCGTGGGAAGCAGGGGAACCACCAGGCAACAAATTCTCTCCTGGGTAACATTTTGGTTTGGTCCTGTGTGAGAGATGATAGCAGCTCCTGAGAGGAGGAGTTTTTCTTCTCTGGCCTCCCTCAAGGGTAGAAAATTGCTGAATTGATAAGATCCTTTGCATTGATTGAAGTCTGGTTTCTGGGCTGGATTCTGTGGCAAAGGCATCCTATTTTAGGGGCTGATATCCTTGTATTACACAAACCCAAAGTTAATAAAACATTAGTATATTCATAGCTTTCCCGTTGTGACAAGTCATATCTGAGGACCTGGGCTTCCTGACTGTCCTGAGGTAAAATTCTGAAAGAACAAATGGTGGAAATTTTTTTCCACATAGATAGGGTAAAGATGCAATTATACATTGATAAGGATGGAAACCCTCCTTTAACTTTTCTGGAAATGCTGACTTTGTCAGCAAAATTTTTTGAAGGCCTGGAAGGGTTTGCTTACTTCGTATTAGTTGTTTGCACCTGTATTACTGCTTAAAATTTATTTGCTGAATGTATTGAAATGATCAAAAGCAAATTAATTTATGACTGAAAATGGTTTATATTGTTTTTATGGGTTTTTTTGTTTTGTTTTGTTTTGGTTTTTGTTTGTTTGTTTGTTTTTGTTTTTTTCCTGGCACTATTTCTCTGCCAAAGATTTCCTGTAACTAGGGTTAAGGGTTTTTGTGGAAATTGAAATTTCAGAAGCACTTGCTTTAAATTAATATTGTTTTGTGGATGTCAGTGGTGCTGATGGAACTGACTTATCTGGGAGCAATTTAGGAGATATTCTGTACTTTCCATAATCCAGATTAAGTTTGTAATTGTGAAACTCTGGAAGATGTGAAATTGATGTTTACAAAATACCTGTTACCTTTCATGGCTTGCTTTTGAGGGTTGGCTCTTTACTGTGCCTGGAAAAATTCAGGCATGCATTCACACTTGAAATCGAATACCCGAGTTCACACCTATTTACCTAATTATTTACTTAAGTATAAATTTCATGCAAACAATATTTTATTGAACTCATAAACTCTCACGGTATGTAACCTGAGTGAAGGTGTGACTATTTTAGGAATCCTGCCTGTCAGTGTACATCTTTATCTGTTCCAGATGAAAGTATTATATTGCTCCTTCTAATGCATGCAATGTAGTAAAATGAGAGCAATGTGGAATTAATCTTGAAATATTTTTCATAGATTTGTTAGTATTGATGCATTTTGGATTTTATTATAGCCATGAATAATTCTCTGATGTTGCAATGCAAAAGTAGCAATTGTTTTGCTTTTGATTTTGTCTTAGGTGTTATTTTTGTTAAAGGGAAGATTAATTTTTTAAAATATTTTTACTGGAAGATAGTTTTAAAAACTGCCAAATTCACCACTTTCATCCCTTCCGAGATTTCAGTGAAATCAGGAATTAATTTGATCACAGTGATGTGAATCTTAAGACAAAATATAG